AAAAAAGACAGAAAGAAAGAAAACTTCAAAGGGCCGGCTGTCGAGGAGAGGCAATGAAAACCAGGCCTGGATCAGGAGGTGAACTCTAACTCAATTTCATAAAGAATTTATTGACATAACATAACCTCTCTTAACCTTACAGAAATACTACATAAACTAAAACAAACAGAGCTGCTGGTTTTATTACTACATATCTAAATATAATAATAACAGTAGCAAAAGAAAATTATACATGTTCCACCATAAAAATATACACCTTAAAAAACATTGTAACAATTTTTGAACACTACAATGATGGAAATTCAATAGTTTTCTTAGTAATCATTCAGTACTTTGGTTCCCAGTTGGCCCCAACAACCATATGGACAAAAATACCTAAACCTAGACCAGGAAGTAAACAGGAAGTGTGGCACTTACTATGCAGACTGTTCTGCTGACGGTTCCTCCACAAGCACATGACGATGAAAACCAGCAGAATGAGCACCATGACGCCCAGAACACAGCCCACGATCAGGTAGAGCAGGCCGCCCGGCTGGCTGGGTGTATCTACGGGGTAAAATCCTGGAGGGGTTATGGGGCGCTGGCTGGGCACACCTGGAGGCTGACGGGCTGAAGGGAAAGAAGTAGAAGAAAGTGAGTTTAAAGGGATGAAACATCTGGATGTCTTTAAAGAGAATATGTCACAAGCTCTACATTTATTGGTTAGTGATTTAGTGTTTTTTTTTTTACATTTACAGAAAGAAATGCTGCTTTGCCCATGCAAAATTCACTGACACAATACTTAAAGTATACTTCGGTTTTTACACATATGCCAGGGTATGTGTACAGTGTGCAATGCAAATTTTGCTATCAGCACAGTACGTGCTTAATGTAAAATGGAGTCTACTTTGAAAGGCTATGTGTTCGAATATAAGTTATTTGGACTTTTTTTGAGTGTTTTTGGTTACTAAGGAGTTGTTATGTGGTTGCTAAGATGTTCTGGTGTTGCTAAGGTGTTTGAAGTGTTTTAGTGCACTCCTATACAGTTGCATATAGCATATTGCTATAGAGTGCAACAGTTGGAAGTTAACTGTTCAATTTTTTGTGTTTTGGTTCTGTTTGTGCACGTGAGGGGCTGTCACGCTATTTTGTGTTTGTTTATTTTATTATTAAATTATGTTTGAATGTTCGCCGGTTCCAGCCTCCTTCTTCCCGATCTACGAACGTTGTTACAGGAATGATTTTGAATGATAATTTTTAAACGTTTAAAGGCTGAGCTATGAGGTTGAGCTACGAGGTTGTTAATCAATGGTATATGCTTTTGTCGAAGCCAAAGCAAAAGACTGCGAATTACGTAGAGTCAGTTTCCATGCGTTCTCAAACTACATATCATTTGCATGCATAATATTCATCTTTTGCAATAAAATATGCTATTTCTATATAAATAACACCTTTAAATCAATAGATTTCCACTGTTTTTTTAATTCAGTTATGTTATTCACAATGCTTTATTGATTTGTAGTTCTTTCTCTCATTAAAGCCATTAAGCACAGTCTTGTACCTTTGTCTTTTTGTCCAATTTTCAAATATTTTTTGCTTCAGATCAAAGTTCTGTAATGTTCTGATTCACCTCGTGGCTGGTTGGTTTAGTTCATAGCTTATAACTCTGAAATAAAGACTTTTTAAAAATCCCTACAGGAAAAAAAATGAATGGTAAAAATGCTTAGTTGCTGATAAAGTGGGCAGCACTGTTGCACTCTATATTTGCTCCTCAACAAGCAGCACAATTTGATGAATCATTCATGTCTGTAGAACTAATGGGGCGGGATAAATTATGTACCGTTTAATACTAACGCTCTAAAACTTGGGATTAGGGGTTTGTTCAAATCTCTAACCCAAGTATAAGCAATAATAAAGCACCACTAACAAGTGCTGGCACATAACAATGCAACTGTTGTCAGTCTCAAAGCTTGCGGCAGCAGCCGGTCTGTTTGCACTCCATGATTTTTATTTGCTCTGGCTGTGAATGACGCTCTGGTTTGATTTCAACAGTGCTGCATTAGGGCAGTTATCAGGGAATGATGTCAAGGAGACGCAGCACAATGTCTCTCTTTGTCTAGCTTCTAATAAAATGATAGCTCGCTTTCCTCTGTCATTACCGCAGGGGCTTTATGGGTTCCTGTCTACATGTTAAATATAGCATTCCTGTGATGGTACTTCAGCCTCTCACCTTTGGTCTCGCAGATCATGACGTTACTATATTCGCTCTCGCCGCCGTCATTAAAGCACTGCATCTTGATGTCATAGGATGTCTCAGGTTGGAGCTGACCAATCAAATGCCAGAATTTGAAGCCTAGGGGAAGGAGGTGGGAAAAGGAAGGCAATGAGAGAGACTACTGAATGAAAAGGGCTTTTCTCAAAGCACGTGTTGTTCTCTCCAAACCACAATTCATTTGCTCAATCTCATTTTTCGCTCTCGCGCTCTCATTCTCACAGTCTCCCAGAAGGATTCAGACAGTTGCTTTGCTGCAGACAGGCTCCTTATAAGGCAGCTTAACGTTTGTTCTGGCCTGGCTCCAGTATTCCCGCTGAACACACTCAGGGCCCTGTGTACACACACACACACACATCGTAGCAGCCGCTCGCCACAGTCACTCATGTATGTTGAGAGCCAGATCTCTAATTACAGTTTGTGCCACAATATTTTATTTGTGTAGCTCATTTCTCTTTTTAATACAGCGAAGGCATGGTGTACACTAAACGACCAGCTGCTGTACTGCATAATGAGAGAGCAAAACACAAAACACACACTTACAGACTCGCACACACATGAAAAAAGCATCACAGGCTTTTTAGTGCCGTTTTTTCCCTGCACACATGATATATCAGTGTTTCCTGCACCACTGTTCAGCGCCGCTGCTGAATCAAATGTGACATGGCAAAAGAAATGATATATAAATTGTGAGTTTGCAGTCTGAATTGAATGTGATGAGATAAAAAAGCACAACCAAATAATACAAATAAATAAACATGTCTTCTATTGTGTTGTCTTTACTGGCTATTCACAAAAATAAACATATAGCACAGCCAGTGCAGTCTGATTCAGGAACAAATTACTCTTATGAACCAATTCTTGTAAAGAATTGGTCAAAAAGACTTACAAACTTCACAAGGTTTGAATCAGTCTAACGAATTTATTCTAAGCGGTTACATCTGATTGGCCATTTATAAAAACATGTGGTTTGTTATATTTGGTATTTTAACAAAATTTTTTTTAAATCTGTTACTAAAAAGGACTGTTTTTTGCATTTATGCATTTAAAATTGGCATAAAATTAACCCTGTAAAGCCTGACATGTGAAATAATTGTATAATTTTTTATGGAACATTTTATTGAACCTTTAGACAAAATATAAAAATAAATAAAAAATAAAAACATTTTTTTTTTTTTTTTTTAATGGCTCATGGAAAAATGTATTGAGGTTGTTATAAAATATTTTTAGAATTTATACTAAAAGGCCTTTCATTTGCTAAAAAAGTATAAACTATCAATCAGATGACAGAAGGCATGCAGTTTTGTATACAACAGGCCGATAATTTAGAGGCCTTTGAAATTTGCATATCAAATATGATACATTAGGCTTTATACATTTTAAAGGGGTCATATGATGCTATTTTAAAGATCATTATTTTGTGTATTTGGTGTAACAGAATATGTTGACATGCTTTAATGTTCAAAAAACACATTATTTTTCAAATACTGTACATTATTGTAGGTCCTCTATGCCCCGCCTCTCTCAAACACGTCATTTTCAACAAAGACCCCTCTTTTGACAAGCGCAGTCTGCTCTGATTAGCCAGCTGA